GTATATGGATGAAATGGCAGCCGCCCAAATTATTTCGTCGACAAATCGATCAATTATTTCTGAATAAAAGAGAATAACTTCTCATGTAACGATTATAACTATATTCATTTCGGTTAAGTCAAGGTTACCTTAATTACCTAGGTCTACAGAAGGAGCAACAATAAAGTCGAAGGCATATGCGATTAGCTTACTTAATATTAGATGATCCTCACACTAACTAATGCGCCAAGCCCACAATATTAACTTAATTGTTCTCAAGAAAGTGGAGATCAAATGAGAAAAATAGCAATTAAGGCTAGGTGATTTACCATATCCGCCTGGTCATGCGTGCAAAAAATCATATAATTGTATATATGTATATATATATATATGAGTGTATGCGTGTGTTCATAATTATATATAAAATACAAAGTTAAATCCCTGAGATAAAAGTGAGACATTAACTAGAAGGGAAAAGCAAATTAGAGCTTTATGAAAAATTGGTCCTCTCACAAAAGGGGAATGAAAAGGAAGCATTTGATCGGGGATGTAGTCCAAAGACGTTTTGGGAATGCCTAGAAAACGGATTTTTGGGTAATGAGAGGACAAGAAAGAATATGTATGATAAGCACCGGATCAAAATAGTACAAAAATCAGAGTAATAGAAAGCTTTCGGGCAAATCGTTGGTACGCGTTAAAATTTGTGTAGGCGAGAAGCCAAGTGTCCAGAACATCCCTCAATTAAAAACTCAGCGATGACAAAGAATTGAAATAAGATGGTTAATGTGAATTCGACGTCGTCTATCAAATAGGACCTCATTTATTTTTAGAATGCAAAATATGATCGGCGAAAAAGATAGAATTCACAAAAATAGCGAGGCTTTTATCCGGAAAGTTCCGATATTCTTTGAAATTTATGAAATTCAAAATGAGATAAAATTAAAGTAAAAAAATATTAAGGTTAAAAGATCTAAAAAATTAAAGGCTAAGGAAGGGTAGATTCAAAACGGTAGGAAATCGACAAATTGAGTCGATATAAAAAGATAATTTTAAGATTATAGGGATTTTACGTGTCTGATACAGCAAATAATAAAAGATGTGTGAGGCTCGAGACAAATGCTGATCCTAGAGTGTACACATCGAGCAAAATAGTCCATAAATGTGTACCTAAGAAAAAGTAAATAAATCACATTTAAATAGAGTAATGGAAAAGTGTTGAAAATTTCATAAAGGAGATTATGTCAAAGAGAGGTGTAGGAGAAAAAGGCCAGTTAATCTAAGCCTATCTCTTGGATAAATTATGTATAAGAAAGCCTAATATAGAAAAAGTTGGTACATTTGAGAGAGGTTTCGTGCATTGATAACATCTTTAATGATAGACTTCTAAATGGTATGGGACAATTTATCCAAAATTTTGTATATAAAAATTGTAATGGAGACAATCGCTCAACTGGAGGGGCAAGCAAAATAACAGGAGAATGGGAAGACACAAGCAGAAAGAATTACATTCTGTTTTTAAACCTTACTATCTGAATTCATGACGGCCCACTACTAGACTAGATGTCAAATTTAAAGGGCTAAGTCACGGCTGAATGTATGAAGACAGGGAAGGAGGGGGGGGCGGGGCGAAGACAAACAAGAAGAGATGAGGGAGGGAAAAGTATGTGATGAGCAGTCTACCAGGTTTTCGCCAGATATGTTGACCTGTTGAGAAGTTAAGAGGGTCTCAGATTAGGCGGAATGAGAGGCAGGTGGGGAAATATTAGTCCGAGCAGCCGGGCAATCCAGTTTGTTGGAATCAAATGAAGGTCTGTAGCTGACGGAGCCTATTGCCGAGGAAGACATCGGCTTAGTAAAATCGGGTGCTATAGTCCACTTGTGCGACCCAACCTGAGAATCTATCATTCATGGCTTCGAGTTTGTCAACATCGATGTGACGAAAGCGTCTAGCACCGGGTTAGTTAATGTAGAATGAACTGTAGCCGGAGCTGAAGAACATATAGAAACAGATTTATTCGAAGTTAACGTTAAATTGGCCTGCTGTAATGTGTCGGAGACAATGGGCGCAATAGAGACCGATGAGCAGGTAGACGGTGGAACTAATGAGATAGACTGAGTAGTAAGAAACGACATTGATTTTGATGGACCCAGGGACGGCGGACCTAAAGTTGCCAAAGGTATTGGGTCGAAATTAGAGTCAATGCCACCACTACTACTGTATTCTGTGATAGATGAAGGCACATTTGAAGAGGGGGGCCTGGAAGCAAGTGTCCATGAGGCAGGAGACCCGGAAACTAGGCCACATGAAGATAATGCTGGCGAAGAAGCTAAGGAAGTAGATATGGCGTGGGTTGAATGTACAGAGGTAGGCTTATATCCAACCAGATGAGATGATAACGTATCACAAAGAAGCGATGAGTTTCCAAGCATCGCTGATTCCTGTGATAAGCTATTCCCAGTCTCACTTGCATTATTCTCTTCTTCTTCCTTATTTTCGGCACCATCATCTTTATTCACCTGCTTTTCTTTAATAACATTCATTTGTGTCGATGGGAAATCTATATTAGAGTCTTCTGGGCCTCTCTTGCCTCCGTCGTCAAGGCAATTATTAGCAGAAATGTC